CCCCCCCCCCCCCCCCCGCGGCCCATCGGTGAACATTGCGCCAATTGTCACAGACACATTGGACATTTTGGTTGGAATCGTGGGGGCATAATCCGAAACGCCTGTCATTCGTCTCTCAATTTATTCTCCACAGTATCGACTGTCATTTTGTCTCGCCGACCGCCATTTGCTTTTGTTCCACGGTGCTCACGATATCGGTTTCAAGTGATACTGCATCATCGACGGAGGCTTTTTTTTCTGCATGCGGAGGCTTTACATTTTTTTTGAAAATCGGTGCGAGTGTGGGGCACGTAAGGGGAAGCAGATGAAAGATGGAGAGAAAGTTTTACGCCGTTTACTGGTACAATTTCAGGTGAAAATTAGGTTAGGTTTTTCCGAAGATGGTGGTGATGATGGGGGAGCGGCGGGGTTGGGGGTTGGGAAGGGGTGGGTTTTGCAGCTAGGGAATTTTTGGACTTCTTGATGATGTTGACAACTGGTTTTTAATAATTTATTTTGGAAAAATTGAAAAATCGATTCTGGGAAAAATCGGCGGTTCTCGAGATTTTTCGCTGTAGTTTAGAGGGTGGTGGGGCAAAATGGGACGTCATGGGGTGCTTTCAAACTGAAATTTCCGCCGCTATTGAGGGAGATTAGTTCAATCACTCGATTTTTATTGGGCCATGGTGGATGATTGGTTGTTAGCATTATCCGGTTATCTTGGTAGGAAGTGGATTGAGAAAAAATTGTCATTAGAATTTTTTTTAGGAAATTAAATGCTCTACAAAAAGTTCTTCTGTAATTTTTTTTTAGAATGACTCATTAACGAGATAATTACAGATTTATGCTGAGTCATCTAAGGATTTACGTATTTGAATCATTTTCTCACTTGATAAATATCGAATTATCTCGGTAACGAGTGGTCGTAGATGAAAATCTCAGAAATTATTTTTTGTAGAGAATTTTCTCAGCCGCAAAAAAAGTTATATAACATTTTTTCCTAGGGCCACTCATTAACGAGATAATTAACAAAACAAGAATGTCATTTCGAACTTTGAGGTTTTTTTTATCTACACTGAGAGAGAAACGACAAAGTTCTCAAGTGTTACTTGTGCCAAGAAAATAATTTTTTGAAAATGATAAAAAAAGGATTTTTTTGTGCCAAACATGCAGAGAGTGCGCCGGAATGAAACATTTTTGTCGCCAAAATAGATGTAGTAGTTAAAAAAAAAACATTTCATTCTCTGTACACGCAAGAAATGTCATTTCTAGCATTACTCCTTCGTTATTCGATACTCCCATACGTATTTTGCTCCCGAAAAATCTTTGTTTTATGCGAAACAAGGGATAGTAGTTTTTCGTTTCGGCTGTCTAGTAATCACAGACAACAAATGAACCCTTAAATGAAACAATAATAATATGATAGCAATCTTGTATCTTCGGGATAAAATATTTGTTGATAAATTGTCCTCTATATGAGATATTTCCCTCCTGAAAAGGCACCGCCGGGTGTGAATTATCCGCCTCTTGCGCCAAATATTTCGTTGCTGTCGAAAGCAGAGCACTTATTCATACCTGAGACTTTCAAATTTCAACCAAACAAATTATTTTTTGGCAATTTTCAACTAGCGATTTTGTTAGGTCAAACAAGATTTGCTTGACAACGTGTTTGTTTCTCTCTCAGTGTACTTTTAGTGTTTAAAATTTTTATAATTGCTGGAGGTTATCTCTTGAATATCCTAATGTCATTATTCTCCTCATGTTTGTTGCAGGAATAAAGGGAATCGTTGCGTGAGCGGGGGTGGCAGCCGCGGTAGCGGTGCGACCGGTACAACCGGGCCAACTGGTGCAACTGGTGGGGGTGGTAACAACGTCCTTGCTAACGACGGTAGTGTTATAGTTGGTCGTGGGGCCCTCTACGGGGGTGGTGGGGGCGGCGGTAGCCCCAGACGTGGAGGTGGTCAAGAGGGTGGTGGACAACCACCTATCAACGGTCATTATAACGGTCATCATACCACTAGTACAAGACACCACAGGCACAAAGTGTCGGCTGGCTGTGTTGAACTACGCCATCATCCACATCATCACCGACACCACCCCCACTATCGCTCCCATCATCGGGGCATGACCATGGGCCAAAAGATATCAGGTAAATGTTTATCTTCGAATTTTCAGGCAGTCCGAGAAAAATTATGTTCCCCTGCAGAGATCTTTTGTCGTGTTGAAGCAATTTACTTGTGGACAAAAAGAAAGCTTCCACCAAAACATGATTATTTTCTAAGTAGTAATTGCTCTCGGGAGACGTTTATATGTCTTTCGGGAAAATACATTCGTTCTACAGAGAATTATGGGGGGCTCCGGTTTTAACGAGTCAATGTTATTCAGTAGTGTATATCTTTGTTCAATAAACACTTATAATTTCCATGGAACACATGATAATTTCAAGAGGAAACTACAATTTTCTTGGCGATAACTGTGTTATTGGCAAAACTAAATAATTTTGAGGGGACAATTTTTTTTGAACCACTCGTCAACGCAATGATTCAACAATTAACGAGTGTAAAATAATTTATGACAATGCAACTTATGTTGATTGGTGATTATCTCGTTTCCTCGGCGAAATGTCAGAAGAAGCTTTCTGTAAAGAATTAAATTTCCCACAATAAATGTCATCTGACATTTTTCGCCCAACCCAGCAGTTTCCGAGATAATTACGAAATTGCGAGGAGGACACGAGATTTGATACTTTCCCCATTTGTGAGATGAATATAATTAAGTACCTTGACTGAGTAAATTTAATCATCCAATTCTTTCTGATTAAAACAGAAACATTTTACGTTAATTATCGTTTCTTAGAAGAAGCGACTGACTACGGGCATTGACAGTCAACGCGCATAATAATGGAAGCGCTGTCATTGATTAATACGAAGACAATTATAAAAACACTTCATGCTGATTAAAACGAAAATTCAGTAATTTTTCCATGAAGAGCAATTACGATTTTTGATTGAACAATTATTTCTCGTTTTGTTCATTTTTTTCGTTCATTTTTTTTTGTAATTGAAAATTGTGAAGTGGGTTTTTATTTAGTACGTCTCATTGATGATGAAAGTGATGAGAAATTGAATGAGATAGAATAATAAAATGAGAATTCGAGGGGATAAATTCAACGTTATATTAATGTATATATCGTGTATTCTGTCCTATACTCTATTTCATCGTACAAAAAACAATGTTTAGATGATTGATGATACCTGGCCTATATTGTGATTATACGCACATTGGATTATTCGGTTTAGTGATTTGTCGATGGGAATTATGAGTTTTTGGGGATTTTTAGTTCCCTTTTTTATTATTTCTGTGGATTTTGTCTTCCAAATTGCATTATTCTTTCGTTTTAATTTTTTTATTTTGTTGCACAAATGTCAGGGATGATTATTGGGGTATTTGAATCGTTGTGATGAGTTGAAATTCAATTTCTGTGACTGTCTCAGGGAATAATGCGTTTGGGGGAAAATGTCCGGAGACATTTCC